CTCGGGGGTGGGTATGGCTGGCTGATGACGGCTGAAGAGCACGAAACGGCTACTCCAGTTTTCCTTAGCCTTGCCGGAAATACTTATTAACCTATGCTTCTTATATTAATTTCGAAGTAGCAGCTGCACATGGAGGACGGTGGTGATGAGATTGTCCTCTCACTGCTATCTCATGCAGCAGACCGAACTGGCGAAATGCGTGTCTGTGCTTTTAACTACTGCCCGTATTGTAAGCTTGAAACAAGCATTTTCGATGGTCAGCCGTTATTGGTCAATCATACCCAATCTCAGCAATTAATATTCGAGTCGAGGTTCTTTGCTCATTGGGCTAAACGGTCTAACATTTAAACATGGGCTCCTTATTTTGTCGGTTACGATAGAGTTTATAAACTACGGCGGAGGATCCTCAATGAAGAGGGCCTTAAACTTCAAACCAATGGGTCACAGGTTCTAGCCTCCGATATTGCACAACCCGGGGATCATCTATGACTGGCCGATGATGGCTAATGAACCCAAAATGGCCATTCCAGTTTCTCTAGTCTTTGCCGGCAAAACTATCCGTCTAAGCTATTCGCCACTGTGAGTTCCGTTAGAGATCGGTATGCGTAAATCAACGAGGGTAAGCTAAATTATTTGCACACACTCAATTTAAATGTTTTTTGGTCAATTTTTGCCTAACCTTAGCAGAACAAACGCGTAATATTAATCTCCTGTCTAAAGGTTGATTTCTCGCTTACGCTTGTACATGTTTGAAGACCATGAATAGTTTTATTAGCGTTTTCCTTTCGCAGGTTTCCTAGGAATCTCCGTACATTCCGATTACTTTAAGCTCTGCAGCGTCGAAGATATGAAGGTGCCTATTATTACCGCAAATGATAGATGGTCAGCAATTTGGGCTCTGATTATATATACAGGCTTCCGGGGGTCAAATCTCCTGCCAGCATCTGATTGTAGCCAGTAATATGAGCGCCAGATACTTTGTTTAAACGTTCTTCTCCTTCCCGCCTTTATTCGCTTATTTGCCTGCACTGACGAATTCCCTTTAAGAACATGGGCGACGAAGCATGTTGGCGTCTGAGATAATAAAGTCTGTTACCGCGGCTTGTCGGTTTTGCTTTCTGCGTGGCTTCTGTCTCTTAGAGGAAAAATAGGCCTGCCGTTTAGGAAATCGTTCCGCAACCTCGTTTGGTTGTGCTTTTTTTTGTTAAAAAAACAAAGATTCAACCAAGCCAGTATACATGTAGGAACAGATGGCCTTCGGCAAATCAGACATGTTATGGAAGAAGTTCCGTTCTTTATAAAATCTGGAAGGAGCGCCGACAAAGAGCGGTGGTGAGGCCTTCACCGATGGCGTTACCCAACACGCTTGTTCAGCTGTGTTTTCGGAATACATCTGGAATCCCGGTAGCAGCTGGTCAGCGCATAGCATAT